TTCTTGGGTGGGCAGCGGCCGCAGCGGGGTCTACGGCGGTGCCGGCGTCGGACGATGCGGCGTGGCTTACGGCGGAGGCCGCTTTGGCGTGGGCACGGTCGTGGGGTTTGGTAACTGCGGAAGCTACGGGGGCCTGGGCAGCTACAGAGGTCTTGGGGACGGCGTGGCTATCGGAGGCTACAGCGGCGGCATTGGCATCGGCCTCGGCGGAGGTAGATCCGAAGGGATTCGGGGCGTCAGCATCCACCCGGAGCTCCTCAAGCCCCTCTGCGTGGGGGTCGACCCCGAGGAGTGCCAAGTGCGGACCCATGAGAAAGAGCAGATTAAGAACCTCAACAACCAGTTCGCCTGCTTCATCGACAAGGTGAGACCCCGCTTCCCTCCGGGCAGGCCGTCTGTCTCACCTCTCTAGGCTCTGATGGATGGGTTGTCTCCAGAGAGACATCGTTGGCAGCTCTTTATTTCTCCTGGCACCCTGATATTGTAAACGTTTCTGACGGACCATGGTGGTCCTCAGCTGGAGACTGTTTGGATTTAAGCCTTTCACCAAGGCAACCGCACCGGTATTTTACCTTTCGATGGTCACCAATCTGCTAAATAGCTAAATCAGGAACGGCTCCAGGGATACGGGAAGTCAAAGCCTGTGAGAGAAGGGATGGAGACACAGAAATGCGAAAAGGCAAAACCAGGAGGTTTTATTACAAATGTATAATCTGACATTGCCATAGTACCTCTATAAACTCCAAAGGACTTTTCCATTTTTAAAATAGTTTGTGTGCTACATCAGGGAGATGTAGAAAGATAGATGTCTAGCTAAAATGAGATGAACAACTTTAACTTCTCTGTCCCCCAACTCTGTGAATGAAATGAATTGGTGATTTCCTGAACAGATGTAATTTATCATTGTTTTCTTAGCTAAGCCTAAGGGTTTCAGTCCTGTTTAGAGATGTGTTATAGGAAACGATTTTTTTCAAACGGCAGAGAAACCTTTGCTCTGTCTGATCTTGATTTTCCTTGAGAGTTGTTAAACCAAACCCAGGTAAGCAGAGCAACCCCGCTTCCTCCCATTTGAAAAATGACTTATTCATGATCCATAAAGGCTCTCAAGTACTAGAGAGCTCTTTAATCTAGATGTGAAAGGCATGATAAATATCTGCGATTAGAGTTTAAATCAGATACATTCAAATGAGATCCTGGATGGAGCTTTTAGTGCCGCGAAAGACTCGTTGCTGTACTCAGCCCATCAGGGGAGGCAGCGGATCCTCCATCAGCCAGTCGTCACGGGGGACGAGCTGGTGTTTGGTTGAGCTGAGCTTTGGTCAATCAGAGGATTGGCCTCAACACAGAGCGAAAGCACCGATGTTGTTCAGCCTCTGATAGGAGTCCTGGGTGGGACCGGGTTTAACTCAGAGAAGATGCTGGTCTCACTCAGGCTGCTGAGAAACCAGCACTTAACCATTTGCATTTCTGATTTTATTTTTACTTTGTCTTTTTGGAAGTGGAGAAACCCAAAGCGTCTTTGCTTGGGACAAGGCATGACTCTTGCATCTCTTGCTTCTCCAGGTCCGGCTGCTGGAGCAGCAGAACAAGGTGCTGACCACCAAATGGGAGCTGCTGCAGCAGTACGTCCTCCCAGCATCCAGGAGAAACCTGGAGCCCGTTTTTGAGAACTTCATCTGCAACTTGAGGAAGCAGCTGGAGTGTGTGCTGGGGGAGCGAGAGAGGCTGGAAAATGAGGAGCGGTGCCTCAGGGACCTGGTTCAAGAGTACAAGTGCAAGTAAGTAGTACGCAGAGAGAAGCCACGTACCGGGGTGTTTGTTGGTCCGAGCGGTGTTTCTGAACGTGAAGCCAATGCAATTGCACTGGATGGGTCCAAAAACTGGGGTACGGGGAGGGAGCAGGGCAGGGCACACCAGTACTGGACTGGTTTCCTGTACCAGGGTCCCACTGCTGCACCTCAGGTGCTGGTGATGGACTGGGAGAGCTCTTCAACCGCTGTGTTTCCTTAGGGAGAGGGACGGGGAACCACTTTTCCTCTCCCTAATGCTCCTGTACACCACCGTGGTTTGCCATATCAAATCTCCCACACCATCTGCGCCTGTGGTTCCCCCCAGACCTCATGTCCCCAGTGCCACCCCTTCCCACAAAACCCTCAGCCTATTTGTCTTATCCACACCATCTCCATTGGGGTTCATTCTCTCTTCCCAGAGGGAACTGGTTTTTTTTTAAATCTAAGCTGCAGATATTCCTTAATAGCTCCCCATGTGCTCTGCTAAGCCATGAACCGGGACACTTGGTGGTTGGTGGTATACAGCAGAGGATCAAAGAATAATCCTTTCTCCAGAGATCTTACAGTCAAGCATCTCAGACATTTTTTCTCGCTGAGCCACCACCAAGGAGGTCGGACTCATAGAATCATCTTGTGAAAGTTCTTCTAGGTCCCAATTACTCGGTTGTTAAGCACTGGCTTTCCTTCCCATTGCACCTGGGAGTTTCAAAGGTTGCCCAAGCTCCTGACCTCCTTTGGGGCGTTTTGGCCGCAGTCTCCCCATAAAGGACTCAGAGCAGAGTCCTGGATGCTTCAGAAAAACATCACACAAAGCAGCAGGGCTAGACAAAGCAATCCAAGCCTTCGGCTGAGGTACGGGGTTTTGCATTCCTAGTGGTTTGGCCTGATTTACTGCCATGTCACTCCAGCCACCCATACTGCTGGCGTGGACTATTTAAAACTGCTGAACAAAGCCCGGTGGGGAGGAAAGAAACAGCAACAAAGCAAAAATCAAAAAAGGAGGTACAAAGCGAATAGGGAGAGGCTCTGGTTTTAATCATGCTTCCCTTGGGTGTTGGGGACGGGATCCTCGGGGCTCAGCATCCCACCCTTCTCCTTTCCTCCTGCAGATATGAAGATGAGATCAACAAGCGCACGGCTGCGGAGAACGAGTTTGTGGTCCTCAAGAAGGTGAGTCAGGCTAGGGACAACGCCGGCGAGACCAGCTGAGAGTGGGCAAAACCTGGGCGTGGGACCAGGGAGAGAAATGGGGAGTCCTGACACCATGACATTGCCCAAGTCCTCAAAACAGAGGCAACCCAATGGATTTGGAGAACCCCTATCAGGTTGCAAGCACATAGAACGCAAACCCAATAGTCTCAAGGGCTGGAAATCGTGAGGTTTCCTCCAAATCTGACAGAAAATGTGGGCTTTGCCACAGTCCTTGATTCTTCACCTCTTTTCACCAAATACCCGGTGTTTCTCCAGGATGTGGACTGTCTCTACCTGACCAAGGAGGAGCTGGAGGTGAGAGTGGGTCTCCTGCGGCAGCAGCTGGAGTTCCTGAAGTGCATCTACGCCGAGGTAAGAGCTCCCGGCTCCCCGCCTGCTGTCCCAGGGACGATGCATCATCCGCTGTCCCCCCCAACTAAATGCAGGGAAAGGTGTCTTTTCTGAAAAATCCTCAATTGCATCCCAAAAATCTATATCTCTTTGTGGGTATTTGATACCAACACTATGGCACACACTTTGGGAAGGCAAAGGGCGTTCTTCGGTGTCTCCTATATCGCTGGCTGCAAAGGGAGGGATCTTTTGCATGAAAAAGCCCCTCAAATTCTAATCCAAACCATCCCTGGGAACCCCAGGAACATCTCACTCTTCAAAAACCCAAATATTTTTAGCACTTTACTTTTTAAGCTACATTAGACCAAATATTTTGGTGAAAGTAACACTTTTGTCGAAAATGTAGCAAGTTTTTAACAAAACACACAGGGGACTCTTTGTGTTAGCCCATTTTCTAGCCAAACACCTCCCAGCTCTCTGTAGGTGACGGGGCCCAAAGCACTCACCCCTGAGGGATTCACAGCCCAGAAAAATGCTGACACAGTCAGAAACGCCGAGTTGCAGCGAAGCGAGTTGCTCCACTAGCATTCCCCACCCTTCCTTAGGGAACCACATGCAGCAATCCCATATTGTGCCACCAAAACAGGTCCCAGCAGTCAGCTCTTGCTGGAAACCAGTCACCCACCTGGAGAACCCCATGCTCTAGTTGGGTGTTAATCATCGAATCATTACGGTTGGAAGAGACCTCAAAGATCATCAAGTCCAACCGTTAATGGGAGAACCTCCCCCAACCCTCCATCTTCTCACCAGACCCCTTTTTGCCAGGGGTACCTGCCCACCTGGCGTGGGCTCGTTGAGGGAAGGGGACTGACGTGCGATGGATCTTGCAGGAGAGAGCTCAGCTGGATTGCCAGCTGTGTGACACCTCCGTCATCGTGCAAATGGACAACAGCCGAGACCTGGACATGGAGGGCATCATCAAAAGTGTTGAGTGCTGCTACGAGGAGATTGCCCAGAAGAGCAAGGCTGAAGTGGAGGCTTTCTACCAAACCAGAGTGAGTATTCACACCACCAGCACAGGTGGCAATGAAATCCCTTGGCCAACAAAACTCTGAGGACCATTTCTGTCCTCCACGACGCAAGATAACCCCACCCTGCAGTGTGCATGCACTGTAGTTTGCTAAAGAAAGTCATGCCCCCTCCAAAAAAAACCAACCCAGGCTTAAAACTGTGGTTTGAGACTTTTCTGTAAAAACAGAACGCAGCAGATCACCGTGTTGCTTCAGAGAGGTCTCCTCTCTGCACCATTCCCTTCCCAAAGGGTGAATGCTTGGGACCTACCCAGGACTGTTGCCTTGTCTGGGCTGAGGTCATGTCTGGGTCCTTCCCCTCGAGCACCAATGTCAGCGCGGTTCCAGAGTTGCCACCTTCCCTGGAAGGGGTGATTCAGGCGACGTTAATGTCATCCTCTTCCCTTGCAATAGCTGGAGGAGCTCCACAGCAGCAGGGGCAAGTTCTGCGACGACCTGAGAAACAACCAGAGCGAGATAGCTGAGCTGAACCGGATGATCCAGAAGCTGCAGTGTGAGTCGGATAACGTGAAGAAACAGGTAGGACAAAGGGTTGAATGCTGCGTGGGCAGTGGGGCAACTTCTCCAGCAAAGGGCTTCATCCTCACCAGCTCCCAGCTTGCTGAGCTGCAAAGAACCCCTCCAACCCAGCCTAAGCCTGGATTTGTAGCCTCTCATCTGCTGTCAATACACAAAGAAGTAGATTTATTTCTCACTTAGCAAAGAAACAGCAGCCATTTGGCTTGGCTATAACAGAAATAGTGTTTGCCGTATGCTTCCTACCGGGGTGCAGCCAACAGGTCCCCTCCCCTTCACCCCAAATAGTTTGGCCATCACGTGTCCAACCTAAATCTCTGGGAGTTCCTAGCTGAGAAACAAGGGGGGGTACATAAGCAATCCTGCGGAGATGCCTTTTAGTATCACCTCCGGCCACCCTCTTGCCCGTTACTGTCCATAGATCGCAGCTCTGCAGACGGCCATCTGCGACGCCGAGCAGCGGGGCGACTGCGCCCTCAAAGATGCTCGGCAGAAGCTGATCGACCTGCAGACTGCACTGCAGCAAGCCAAGGACAAGATGGCATGCTTGCTGAGGGACTACCAGGAGCTGCTGAACGTCAAGCTGGCCCTGGACATTGAGATTGCCACTTACAGGACGCTGTTGGAAGGAGAAGAGAGCAGGTAGGAGCATCCCCGGCTGCACCTTGTAATGACAGCTGGTGAAACCCAACAGGAGGAGAGAGAGGCAGTGAGAAATGCTGGGTGGACACAGCTCCCCAGGGGCACAGAGGGAAGCATCACCCCTTTTTTCTCCCCATGGGTGCAGAGGGGACCATTGCCCCTTTTTCTCCCCATAGGAGCAGAGGGGAGCATCACCCCTTTTCTCCCCACGGGTGCAGAGGGGACCATTGCCCCTGTTTCCTCCTCATCCTCCCACGGCAGCAGGATCGCAGCGCCCTGAGCACGCTGCAGTCAGATCCCCTGCTTGCGGGACAAAAAGAGGATGGGATATTAAGGCGTCTGTGGGATTTGGGGATCCAACCCCGCAGTGTTTCCGTGGGGAATTTGTGCTAGCCCCTCACACCTGGGTGCACAGAAGAGCCCGAGTTTCTAAGGAGGCAGTGGCTGGGCAGCACCTCTGTTTGCTTGCGTGTTTGAGGAATATTTCCCTAAATACATCTTTGAGACTTTTCTTTTCTTAACAGGATATGTACCGGCAACCCTGTGAGCGTAGGTAAGCTAATGAAGCATTCCCTTAATTTTCTTACATGTAAGCTTATAATTTTCCTTATAAGCTGGGTTTTAGCTGCTCCGGGAGTGACTGAGCCTGTTTTTCTCCCACAGCTGTGGTCAGTGGCGGGGG